TCCCTCCTTTTTGATACATAATACATATTTTCATGGGATATTTTGACATAAGGGAGCATAGAAGTTTGATGAATGCCCTTTGACTGCTAAGTTGTTTGTAGATTTGTCTACTGATGAATGATATTAGGCAACTTCCAAACCTAACCCAAAGTCAGTGCTTTTAAAACTATTTAAGAAAAAAAAAATCAATAGAAATTGTAGTTGGCAAAAGTGTTGGCAAAGTCAGTTAGACATTTGTTGGTGGCTCTCCAAAATATTAAAGGAAACAAACTTAAAGTCAATGGTTCGACAATGAAATAGTCTACAATAATTTTCATCAACTATATCTCAGAAGTTTGAGGATTTTGTCTTTCAAAAAACAATAGTCTGAAACAGCTCTTGCCAAGCAATCAGGAATCTATTACCAAGTTTAAAAATGTCAGCAAGAAACTCAAGAAGAAAGGCCAAGGTCCTAGATTAAGAAATTGTGTGATGGAGACCAAAGCTTACTTTGTTTAATGTTGCCAGCCCTTTTCTCTAGTTTGTACCTCTTTGCAGCTTCCTAACAGAGACAGAGGTGGAAAAGATAGCTGGGGTTGGGGAGGAAGAGTAGAATGTTTCTGAAGAAGCTTTGGAGATAGAGAAGAAACTACGGAGCACTTGACATGCTGTGTGGGATTTGGGAAGATTAATGTCTAAAGACAATGTTTAGGGATGCAAGCTCCTTACTAGGACAGCATAAGGTAGTAGTTAAGAGCACAGTTTGAAACCTAGCCTGTTGAGGTTCAGACCTGAGCTCTACCATTGACTATCTTTAGAGACTGAGCAAATTACATCATCTCTGTGTAAATCAGTCTCCTTATCTGTAAGAAAGAGATAATAATAGACACTACCTCACAGGATTGTTATGAATATTAAATGAATCACCATATGCAAAGTGTTCAGGACAGTGTCTGATACAAAGCAAGCCCTATATAAGTAGGTGGGATAGTCCTCTTAATTCCAAGGTGTGCTGAGACAGACCAACAGGCTAACTCTATTGGGCAATACTGGATGTAAAGATCACTAGTTGCTTACCTCTGTGTGTGTGTGTTGCTGTTGAAAAAGCCTAGAGGATTTTAAAGTTTTAAACAACCAACAAGTTATTGATTTCAAAGTAATGGAGAGCTTACTGTCAGTTACTGGAGTCTGGTGTGTGCATGCGCATGTGTGTTTGTGTGTACACATGCAAACACATGTGTATATGAGCTGAGAGTAGGGAGTGGTATGTGGATTCCATGGGCATAAAGAAGCAGAAAAGCAAGATGGACAATATTCTGCATATCTGAGCAGTCCATTTTACTCCCTCGTTAGCTGTCCTCCTGCCACACCAGGGATCCCCCTAGAGCTACCCGTTCCTCAGATGGCAGTGCCAGGCCTGTCTACTCATCTTTTGTTACCAGGGAGCCTCTGTTCCTCAGTGAATTTCCTTTCCATTCATTTTCAAATGACTTTTCTGATATGGGCATTGTTGAATATGCACAAGACAGAGAGGCTCAGGTGTGTGTATGGCTGGATTTGCATAAGTATAAATACAGTATATGTACCCATATTTAAGTGATATAATGATAATATTGTGTTGCCATCTCAGAATGAAAGCTAATTAATTCAGCTATTGAGATGATAATGATTTCCTTCTCAGTTAACACCAGAGTGAAAAAAAAAAAACCTGCAGAATTTTCCTACGCACTGATCCTTTAACTCATCTTGGAATAAAGAGTTTTATTTCTGTTAACTAATGAACTATCAGTATCTGACGGCATGAAAGGGAACTATTCCTGGGAGGGGCTGAAGATGAGGAGAAAGGCTGGCTCAGGAAGGCTAAAGTGGTCATTGAGCTCAATGATTTGGTACCTGGAAAAAAATTATTTTTGCCAATAGTTTCTCTAAAAATGCATATTTTGCCATTTGCACTCCCAATATCAACTTTCATCTGAAGCACAGTCTCTTTTTTTAGACTTTCTGTGGTTGAATTTGACATTTAGGAGAACACTAAGATCGTTCCTAGCGCAAGTTATACCAAGTGACAAATTCACAAGCAAGTCTGTCACTTTTTAACCTTGACATCAGCCTCTGCTTTCATTTTTAGTGTTTCCCCCTCCCTGTTCTCATCGCCTCACATCAAGTCCAGGTACTTATCACCTCTTGCCTGGTCACAGTCTCCTGCCTCCAGCATCCAGTCTCCCTGTTCCACCTTTCCTGACCTCGCACTTAGGGTTCTTCCCATCATGCAGGTTAGGACATACCCTCCTCTGCCAAGGCCCAAAACCCATTTAATGGCTTCTCTGTCTACACAGTGAAGGCTCAACTCCTTTGCTTGGCATTCAAGGGCATTTAACCATATTCTGCTCCACTGCTATGCCCTCACCCATCTCCCACTAATTCAGCCCCACACTCGAACCTCCCATCAAGATGGATTATCCACCCTCCCTTGGAGCTCCCATAACTCCCTGCCTTTGCTCATTTCCCAGAGTACCCTGCCTTCTTTACAGGCCATGTTTCAGAACGCTACTTATTCTCTAAGATCCAGCTCAGATTTCATTTTTATTATGAACTCTTCCCTGATCCCCCCTACTTGGAATTAGTCTCAGCCTATATAAGTCCTTTTCCTCAAGATGCTCGACTACTAGCTGTTGGGGAATTGTCACATTATACGTAGTTTACTAGAATAATCTTTTACTGCCTTCTGCTCAAAAGGCTGTCATAACAAATATGCATATCTCCATGTCTGTGATGGAATTGCTGCCTTCCCCCCTTAAATTTGGCACAACCTTCGCAAGTGTACAATGTGGCCCTGAAATGATCACGTTTCATCTACATTCCAATGATTTATTATTTAATTAGCTATCCTATTACTGTATCTTATATTATGCTGGGCATTTGTTTCTGCCTTCTCACTAAGGTGGGAGCTCTGAGGACAAGGACTGTTCTACTCCTCTTGGTATCTCTCAGGTCAGAGAATGTAGCTTTCAGATAGTAGGTACTTAATATGAAGTTATTCTACCCTCTTGTGACCCAAAGGAGGTAATCATGGTAAACATATTGCTTAAGCGTGTGCATTTTGGTGACCAGCTGGGTTTGACTCCTCCTAGTCCACTTATTAACCGTGATCATGGCCAATGTACTGGTACTTAACCTCTCTGTATCTTTTTTTCTTCATCTGTAATATGGGGACATATAATATTATCTTCATCATAAAGTTGATACCAGGATTAAATAACTAAATGCAGGTAAAGTGGTGAGAACAACAAATAAGGAGTGCTCACTAAATGTTAAATATTATTCCAACAGGCTGTTACAAATAGGAAGGATTCTTGCTGTCTCAATTTCTGCAGAGGCAGGAAGACAGTAGATGCTACGTTCCAAAGTTGGCCCATCTTTCAATGGGTGGTCAAGAGCTAATTAAATACTCATTTACTTTGAGGGCATGAAGTTGGTTGAGTTGGCAATTATAGAGCAGTCTTGCTCCAAAGACTTTGGAGCAGGCAACTAGTGGGCTATGAATCCCATAACCCCACTGCAAAGGGGTGAGTGAGAGATGCAAGTGTCTACCACTAGGGGCCACCACTGAAACGTATGGTACTTTGTGAGAATTAGGAAAAGGTGTCACCTCTTCCCCAGGTAAAATCTATATACTAAGGAGGCTTTGCTACCTGAGGCCCAACAAAAGGGCCTTTAACAGGATCACTTGAAGAGAATGACACATATCCCCCGAAACTGAAGGAGACTGGAGGCTGGCATCTGAATTTCACCTGAGAAGTTGAAAGGACAAGAGGAAGGGTGGCTGACCACCTATGGATAAGTGGGAGAGATTTCTGTGCCCCACAGAGTTTGTTGGACCAACCAGAGAAAGCTGGCATGGGGTTATCTTAAGTCCACGCTAAAAGGGCCACATGGAGGGACTTTGGCACCAAGAGGATGGAGGTGAATTGCCAAATTCCTAGATGCTGAAGGAGACATAAGCCATGGACTAGAATAGAGATGTGAGGAATTGCAGAGGAAAGTATCCCAGTAACAGGGGGCGGNAACAGGGGGGGGGGGGGGGGGGGGGAGGCGGGTCTCTAAAGAACTCAACCCAAAGAAGAAAGTCAACTTCAGACACTTGCTGAGCATAAGCCAGCTTCTCACAATACACACAAGTAAGCACTTTCCTGTTACTTCGCTTGCTCTCACCATCCACTCCTTAGTCACCACACTACCTTGACTCTGAAAGTGTCAGGTTCACCAGTTGGAGGAGGAAGAGTAGAAACGGAAAGTGGATTCAAGAAGCAGAAAGGAATCCAGTCACATCCCCTGCCCAACTCTACGCAGCTTACCTGTAGCAGGCTGCAGCTGTGGCTACCTTCTCAGGAGAGATGTTTGTTTTTAAATCAAGGTTGGCATTTTGTGTATTACACCAAGCTGGGCATATTAAGTCCTGAATTGGAACCTTGAATGTGACCTCTCCCTGTCTGCCTGGTAAACAGCAACTCGTTTTCCAAGATTTAGAGCAACACTCCCTTCTGTGTCTGACCTCTCCCTCCAGAGCTGGCCATTCTCCCTGCCTCCTCAGCACAGCCCAGGAATGCTGAATTTCACTTGTTTGCTTGTTTGCCTGGCTTTGCCCTCAATCAGACTGTAGACTCTAAGAGGGCAGGGATGATGTATTCGCCTTTGTACCACCAGCCCCCAGAACACACCAGCACATATTTGTCCTCCAGTGAAGATATCATGAAAGTAATCTATCTTTAACAATGAACTAAGATGTTTCCTACGAGAGGCTACAAGGCAAACATGTCTTTATTATTGAGATAAATTCAAAACAGCACCCTTCCTGGATGATGCAGTACAGTTGAAAGTACTTTTGTCCACAGTGTGCTCAAGGGTGGCCGGGTGCTCTCTGGGGGTTCCTGAGAAAATGCTTGGGCCTTTCCATCCTCATTTGTCTTTCTGAGTGGATGTTGTTAGGAGCCTTTTTACCCCTGTCTGTGTTTCTTCCACAGGTTTCTTCCGGAGAAGCATTACTAAAAATGCTGTGTACAAGTGTAAAAATGGGGGCAACTGTGTGATGGATATGTACATGCGAAGAAAGTGCCAAGAGTGTCGACTAAGGAAATGCAAAGAGATGGGAATGTTGGCTGAATGTATGTATACAGGTATTCGCATCAAGCAATTACATTCCACTAAAAATCTCTTAAGGAGGCAGATGTCAGGTAACTCATCTAATTAGAATGGTACTTCACATAGTAAAGAAGGCATTTACTAAGCCATTTAAGTTCTTGAAAAGGGTAATAAGCCACTGAAATTGTCCAAACTGTCAGCTAAAGAGCATTTTATTCACTGGGACGGCTGTGTTTTGTTGTTCATTGTTGCATGAATTATACATGGAGTGAAGTGGCACTCACATACAGTTAAAATAACATGTTTTAATAAGCTACAAAGAATGACATTCTAAAAGTTTCTTCCAAATTTGATTTAATATCCTTTTTATTTACTGTTTAATTAGCATACAAATTTACAGTTGTGGGAAAAATTAAAAATGCTTTATAAGGTATAACTGCCTCTAAATGGTCTAAATAGAGTTTTAAACCAAGTCATTTTATTAAGAATCCTTCTCCTCTTAGTGCAGCTCTGAACCGTTTTGTATAGCTTTATACAGGAAATTAACTACCCCGAGTTTTAATATCATTTTGTCCTTCAATCTGATTAAAAAAAAGACACTGTATTAACTGCTGGCGTTGTGAGGAAGCGTAATCTTCATCAAAATTTGGAATGCATGCTAGTATATAACATATTAATTTTTCATTCCACAAATTCTACAGACCACTCAGATTCTGAGATAAGTCCTGTTCCTCCTCAAAACACAAATAGACAAACAAATGTCACCCAGGGGATGATAACATTCAAGGAGGAATGCCACATGACACAAAGCCTTTGGAAGGTGACTCCAGTTCTTTTATTCCCAAGCTGTACAGGCCACTGGGCTGGACCCAGAGAAATAATGCGTGCAGGGGGGGGGAAGAGATAGGTCAGTGTAAATAATGCAGCGGTGGGTGGATGAAAGTTTTATAGTGGGTGATCGCAATCTCGTCTTTGCATATGTGAAACATGAGACTGCAGCAGGGGCTGCTGCTGGAATCCAATCTTGCAATGGAAACACTCACTTCGATATTGGTTAGTTCATGTTGCTCATCACTTAAATATGAATGTGTTCCAACTGAAACCCTGAGGACATTTCTCATGACTCCACCTACAAGAGTCTATAACGTTATTCATGAACATGGACTCATCCCGCTGACAGATGCCAAGCTTTCACATGAATCTTATAAACGAAATTTCTAGGACAAAGAAATTCCTGGAACTTCATTTCATTAACATTGAGAGAACAAGGAAGTTAAATGAGAATATGGAGGATTGTTCTACATTATCTTTTATAATTCTGTTTAAGTGTAAATAAATGATGATGTGTGATTATTCAAAAGAAAAATTCAAAGTCCCCTGAGTTATGTTCTCAATAATTTATACTGTTCTGAAAATTAACTGGATTTTAAATTCTTTCCTGAGGGATCTTGATATTTGTTTTACTCAACGCATTTACTTATGTATTTAATGTGAAACTGAATATACTTATGGTATAGCTATGCAAACATGAAGGAAAAATAATAGTAACCCTATATTTTGAACCACTAGCTTTCAAGGCCCCCTAGACAATAGGGAGAGTTTCATTCTCCATTTTATTGACTGAATACCTTACATGTGTACAATGCTTTGGCATTACAAATCCTTTGCATAAAGTTCATTTAAAAAAAAATGACACGATCACACTTAATTGACACAAAACTCTGCAAGGTAGATATTATTCCTGTTTTAGAAATGAAGATACAGAAACTCATGAGACTCACAGAAAATAAATTTCTTATTCAAGGCCAAAGCTTAAACCATCAGAAGGGCTGGAATTGGCTCGGTGCCAAATTGCATAGGCGCTCTTATGAGCTGACTGCATTTCAGCTGCCTCATGACCACACACCCACCAGTACTTTCTATGGTTAAGTCTCTATGTTTACTTTTTCAGGCTTGTTAACTGAAATTCAATGTAAATCGAAACGGCTGAGAAAAAACGTGAAGCAGCATGCAGATCAGACCATTAATGAAGACAGCGAAGGGCGCGACTTGCGACAAGTGACCTCCACAACTAAGGCATGCAGGGTAATAACAGGCAACGGTGTCTGCCAAGACCAGCAGCCGCTGAGCTTCTAGGCGTAGTGATCCGGTTGGGCGGCTTTCACATGAAAGTCGCAGCTCTATGCGCAGAATTTCATTTCAATTGTGCACTAAATGGACTTCTTTCTAACCAAGAGAGTAATAGAAATTACAGTGTAAAAACATCAAATAATAACAGTGTATAAAGTAAAAAAGTGAGGGCTGGCAGAGTGGCTCAGTTGGTTAAGAGCTCGCTTAACAGTGTGAGCTCTGAGCAACAGGGTCACTGGTTTGATACCCGCTACAAGCTGCCGCTGAGCTGCCAACAGGTGGCAGGATGGCTCAGCTAAAAATAAATAAATAAATAAAAATTAAAAAAAAAAAGAAAATTTAAAAAAGTAAAAAAGTGAAAGTTCTCCTCCCTCGCTCCATTCCACTTCTACTACCCAGAGTTTGCCAGTAGAAATGGTCCAGTTTATAAAATGGATTTTTCAAACTGAGTTTTATGACCGTCCCCCCCCACACACACACACCCCACCCCCGTCATTGAGAGGGGAGGCTCAAACTGAGAAGGATGTGAACTCAATAGAGGCTTGTGAATTAGCCTTTATCAATGGGTAAAACAGAGTGAATATACATCAGTGGACCAACACAGAAAAGCCCTTCTCATTGAGGTCACAAATAACTCAAGAAATCCTTTGAGCAACTTGGGACAAAGTTGAAGAACAGCATCTTGGATGATTAGCTAAACATATGGTGATAATGCACAGGGTATTTGGAGGAATTTGAATTTGCCATTAGTTGAGAAACTAAAATCCATGATTGGTCAAGCCACACCCTTCTCAGTATTTATTATACTAGTGACAAGAGAAAACTTCATCCACATTTTGTTTTTCAAATGTATTATTTTGTATTGGTTTCAGAAAAATAGTTTTATATGAAAGCATTGTTTCACCATAGTGCTTCATCAGGAATGTTTCAATATTAAAGAAGCAAAGAGTCGACACAATTAGTCACACTCTTCAAAGACACTAGTAAAGAGGAGAGAGATGTTTAGAATCTAAATCATTCAGATTGATGACTCTATACTTCAGGGGTCAGCAAATTTTCTTCGGTCAAGGGCCAGATATTTTAGGCTTTGACCATATGGTCTCTATCGCAACTATTCGACTCTTCCCTTTTAGTGTGAAGGCAGCACAGGTAACACCTAAACAAATGAGTGTGTCTGTGTTTCAATAGATTTATAAAACCCGGTGGGTTTGATCCAGGGGCCACAGTGGTCAACCCCTGTTCTATATGAATAGCCTTAAATGGATTCTCCATTTTATACGTGGGAACTTTCCCTTAGATATGACTAAACTTTGAACTTTTGCTGATCTTCTCTATAAATGGGCTCAATAGGCTTCAAATACAGACTATTATTTATTCCCAAGAAATACATGAAAGAAATATTTTGTTTTCCCTATTTTACAGATAGGAAAATGAATAACTTAGGAGAAATTTAGTGAAATATGATATGGCTTGTTTAAGGGACCCATAGAAAGAAATTATGCATTATATCACAGTGCATAGTTCCTGCCACTCTTATGGCTTTTTTCAATAATTTATGATATTGGTTTACTCCAGATAAATGCACGTGCGCATTATATAAGAAAAATGCCTGAAAACCAACCTCCCTGACACCTTTTATTTTTTTGCCAGTGTAGGAGAAAACTGAACTCACCCCAGATCAACAGAATCTTCTACATTATATTATGGATTCATATAGCAAACAGAGGATGCCTCAGGAAATCACGAATAAAATTGTATGTACAATATATGAAAATACATGGGTTTAAAGTTAATTTTTTGGGAGGTTTTACTATCTTGGAGCTGGAATTTATGTATAAATATGTTACTTTGAAATGATTAGAGCTAAGAATTTAAGTCATACATTTAAACTTGTTGCAGCATTAATCACCTAATGAGTGAGTTTTCATATCTATCTTGGTAATAGTAATTGCTCTCCAGGGATCTCAAAAATATGAGCTGGGTCTTTAAATGTTATTGTCTAAATCTGGTTCTTTAGCCTAATGGTTTTATATGGCTTTATACTTTTATTTACATATTAATTATTTGCTTTTTTTCTTAAATTTCAGTTAAAAGAAGAATTCAGTGCAGAAGAAAATTTTCTCATTTTAACTGAAATGGCTACCAGTCATGTACAGATTCTTGTAGAATTCACAAAAAAATTGCCAGGTATTTATACATGTAGTTACTTCTCTGCTACCCTGTGCAGTATTCTTGTGCCATTGAGAGCAGCAGATCTGTTCATTGCAAAATGGGAATCATCTCACATCTGATTTAATGTGTCTACTATAGACATGAAAAGTTAGAACCAGATAGGATATGTAAAATCATTTATAATAATTATTCTTCCAAACTGGTAGATTAAGAAATGGAGGCTTTGCAAAAAGTTGTCATTCATCCATTTATGCCTTTAATGATAAGTATTTGTTAACGCCCACTCTATACTAAGTACCTAGCTGTTACCTTCAAGGAGAGTGATTAAAGTCTATAATAAAAAAGGGTATACAAAGTGCTGAACAGACCGGAAATCATTATTAATTGTATCTAAGAGACGCATATTTGACTTGAGTCTAAAAGAAAAAGGAGTTTTTCAGGTGTCATGGAGGAGAAGGTGCATTCCAAGTCAAGAGATGTGCCTGTGAAAATACAATGAGGCATGAACAAGAATAGAATTATTAGAGATGGGAGAGAAAATTCAGTGTGGCTGTAGCATAATATCTGTGGCTCCTTGGTTAGACACGGGGTAAGCTGGTACCAGACTGATTAGGCCTAACTAAAGAATTGAATTCTTGTCCCCTGGATGGTAAAGAGTTTTTGATGAATTATTTTTTGACAGGGAAGTGATGAGATTTATGTTATAGAGATATGGCTTTATCAGGTTTGTACAAGATGGATTTGAACAGGGAGGGGCTGGAGGCAAGGAAGGTCAGTTACTATGCTTCTGCACCAGTCCAGGCAAGAGAGCTTGAAATAAAACAATAGCAGTGAGAAAAAGAGAAGAGTGATAAGACTTGATGAGCAAGTGTTCATCATGTCAAATGAGGGAGAGGGATTTATCCACAGTCATTATGATATGGTGCCACCACAGAAACTGGAAGGCAAGATTCTTATCGCCCAGCCCCCAATTCTTTCAGGCACAATTTCAAAACAATCTAAGCCAATAGGTTTAAGTTGTTTCAGTGTTTTAAAAATATATTAGTACATTAGAATCCCATGGTCTAGAGGAGTATAATAAATACCTTGTATAGCAACACAACACTGTAATATTAAATTATAGAAGGTAACTTCTGACATAGGATTTTAATTAGACATGTTAATTTGCCTTCTTCGGAAAGCATTATGCCATTATTTTATTAAATGTGTCATGGATAGACATAAGCCTACATAATACTCATACAATGTGGGGAGGAAGTTCTCATTATCACTGAAATATTAATATTCTTTCATTTCTTTATTAACAATGAAAGAGGAACTTACTTTGTTAGATGCTAATTAAGCTTACGGCAATCTTAATAAAAAACAAGATTACAGAAGAACAAAAACTGTGGGAGGAGACAGCGGAAAAGGAGAAATATGATGTTTTTGGTTGTTTATGGAAAACGATTTTTCAGTTCAAATGGTCAGTTGGTCTTGAACCAAGAAATAATTGAAAATTAAAAAAACAAACCTTGCTCACAAGAAGGTAGATCGTCTGAAAGCAATGGCAATATCTTACACAATTCTTCATTCCCAATGCCTGGCCTGGTTCCTGAGGGAAAGAAAGAGTACAATTAATGTGTGTTTAATGAGTAAACCAGTAGGAGAAAGTTTTTAAATACAGAAGGAAAGGAAAGGCAAAAAACTCTTGAGAAAGAAAAAAATATTTTAAGAATAATTATAGAAATGACATTATTACCAGTAGTATTAATAGTGATACCAATAATGAAAGAGTGTTTTGTGAAGGACCTAGCTGTGTCATTCATTCCATGCTGCAGTTCATTGAGCATAATCTGTCCTGGGACCTGTCCAGGGTGCTGGAGACCTGGCCTGTCTCCTGCCCTCAAAGCAGTGCTTTGATTCTCTGGAACAGTGACATTACTTCTTGATCCTTAGCATTACTCTCTTCTCTAAACTCCCATTGTTGCTTAATACTTTCCTAAGCCATTTAGTCTTTGAAGGCATTATTTTTTCTCTATTAGTGGTGTGTGTACACATGTACACACAAGCTTGTGTTTGTTTCCCTTTCATTTCTTCAGTCATTCAATTATTCAACAAATAACTCTTGGATACCAATTATGTGCCAGGCACTGGGGATACAAAAGTGAACAAAACATGCAAAATCTGCCCCCAAGAAATTTACCCTCCAGTACAGGTGGCAGACAATTAACAAATAAGTAATATAATATCATGTCAAGGAGTGGTAAGTTCAGTGTATAAAAATAAAGCAGGTAAGGACAAGTGAGTGCTAGGGAGTGCTATTTCAGGTAGAGTCACATTGAAGCAGAGGCCTGCATACAGTGACGGGGTGAGCCATGGCGATAGCTGAGGAAGAGCATTCACCTCTGAGGCACAAAAAGCAGGCTTGTGTGTTCAAAGCACAGCAAGGGGTCAGTGTGGCTCCAGTGCAATGAGTGAGGGGAAGGAGGAGGGGGAGAAAAGGTTAGAGAGACTGCTGAGGACCAGAGCATATAAGCTTGGATAAGGATTTTGGATTTTCCAGATGGTATTATATTCCTTTAGATTGCCAATTTCCCCCCATATTTCTCTGATTTTCCCCACCCTGCATGGTGCAGTGCTAAACTGAGAGAAGATATCTCAACATGACCTTGACTTTTTTTTTTCCTTTGACATGCTATCCATTCTCCAGATTGATTAAAGATTCATTAGTTGGCCAAATATTTCTTTCAACCTCTAGATACACATAAAGATTTTTCTGGTTCATGGATATTTGATGTTCTGTTTC